CTGTTTGGCTGCGCATTTTGGCTCAAGATTGCTCAGTCAGTTTTTTTTGGGAGTTTTTCCAGGTCAACCTGTCCAGGTCCTCGTTCCGGTTTGTGTTGCAGGTGCGGCCAACACTGGGCCCATCACACGAATTTGTATGGCGAGCCTACAGGTTTCAAACACTGTAGCAGTTTTGTTTCACAAAGATAAGTGCCCAACCACCGTTGCAGAAGCTGCCGAGGTCTTTGCAACGATTGGTGATGTGGCGCGGTTGGATATGTCCTTGGGGACGACAGTTGGGCTCCTTTTTGTGACCTTCTACGATGTGCGCGTGGCCCAGCGGGTCGTGCAGCACACAAAACCCTTTGCTTGGCCTGCCCAGGCAGGGATGGATGATTTCCGTGCGGTGAGTTGGTCAAGCTCCCAGTTTGCAAATCTTCCACGGCAGGAGAGAGGCTTCGAGAGGTTTGGTGAGATTGCACGGATTTTTAGCTGCGGCGGTGACATCATCATTGAATTCTATGATATGCGCGCTGCTCTTCATTGCTGCATTTCTATCCCTGGCAGTCAGCCCAAGAAGTGTGGACCCATGTCCCACAAGACCGGTGATACTGTTGGCTCGGCAAAGGACACCGACATGACCGGTTGGGGTGGGTCAGCGCGCAAAGCGCCCCCATGGCTTCCCCATCGCTTCTCTTGCGGACGGTGCGGAGCCCTCCGGGTTTGACTAGGTCCGATGGAAAACCCTTTCTCTTTGGACGCGGACCGGAGGGGGCGCCAGCCTGAATTCGAAAGAGCACCAAACCATCATGTTGCTCGTGCTGCCCATGGAGGTGCAAAACACGGAGGTGCCAGCAGACCTTTGATTTCTTTTGCATGTGCATTTGCCCCACTGCAGAACAGTGCAGTGTAGGAAACTTGATGGCCTTGAGACGGATGATGCTAAACTGACTAAGTCAGGAATAACGCCGTTCAGCTTGAGACGCAGCGCGGCCTCTTCTGCTGGGTGAAAGCGCCCCGCAGTGAAAGTCCCGAATTCGACGTACACACATCTGCGAATTTCCAATAGTAACAAGTGCCACGCTAGTAGTAACAGGTGCCTTACTAGTAGTAACAAGAAGCTATTAGAAACAAGTGCCACGCTAGTAGTAACAGGTGCCTTACTAGTAGTAACAGGTGCCACGCCATTGTGGTGTTGCCCACGGAGGTGCAGAGCATTATTTGAACGCCCCAGTTGATCGAGATGGAAGATGCCAATTTTTGCCCATGAGAGGCTGCGGCTTCCGGGTGCACCCTGCATCGACGTCCAAAAAGGGGTCACGGAGAATTCCCACCAGTTGTGTCAGTTCTGCCCAGTGGGTAGTTGAATGTCATACATACTCATGTGGTTGCCCAGCTGTTTTGCCCAGCTGTGTCAGACGTGGTCCTGGTTGCTGAGATGGATCCACATGTAGCTCGCCGCACATGGCTCCACAGTCTCTTCGCCCTTGGAGGCCGAGTGGCCGCTCCTGGTGGTGGCGCCGTCCTCCTTGCGCTTCGTGTGGCGGGATCAGGCCGGGTAGCACCCGAACATGAGGAGGTCACGGTGGCCATGAGGTGTTTGTCGACTCTAGAGATGTGAAGCTTGAGGTTACCAGCATGGCCTGTTTAGAGCGGTTCTGGATGTTCTTGATCGATGCCTTGGAATGGCTTTGGGATGGCTTTGAGGATGACTTCAAACTTTATACTTCCCTAGCATGGTTGTCATTGGCAATGTTGTTCTTGCCAGGCCGCCCAGTGGCTGCCCCACCTAGTGGGGGATGATGGGCAGGACGTGCACGTCGTGAGGCGAACCTGTCCAACAAAAGGGTGGGGGAGGATGGTCAGATGGGGTCAATCGGCAATGCTTTTCTTAAGTCTTCTTGTGCTGAGGCCAGTAAGTACAATTATCTTTTATCCAAAGAAGAAAACGGCCCTAGCCGCAGACAATGCAGTGGCCAAGGGCAGTTGTTTGCTTCAATCCGATTTTGGCATTGCTTTCTGGGCGTCTGGTGCGACGGCCAGGAACAGCAAAGACAAGGTCTGCAAATCGGCGAAACTCGTGGCCAGATTCTGAGACTGACGCGATCGAGCAGGCGATGACCATCGGTGGCGATGACCATCAGTGGAAAAGGTCTGAACATCTGGATGACCTAAGTGATAAGTGTTGACGCCCGGGTGTTTCTGCAATTTGCAAAAAGCCACGTAGACATCATCCATGATGATGGTCCAATATATGTCCATATCACACTTGACACACTTTCAGATCAGATCCGGTTAACCTTGTGTAGCACATGAGCTCCTCTGAAAGGCTCTCAAGTCAAACTGTATCTCAGTCTTGGCAGGTTCAATTGCCCATTCCATGTCGTCGTGCTCATTTGCCCACAGTATTCCTACTGGCCGATCTGCCGACGAACAGGATCTTGCAGAGCCATCAATGTGAGCCTGCACAGATCTTTTGTTCGCCCCAGATCCTCAAGTAATACCGGAGCAACATTTGGAACCCAACATTTCGACATAAAACACCAAGGAAAGGGCGGAAACGGTTCAATACAGAACACCAAAGAACATCCATTTGGCCCCCCAGGTCTGTACCTATGACCTGCTCCGGCGCTGTGAACGCCTGCGACGTCGCAGTGACGGCGCGGAGCCCCGAGGTTGGGCTATCCCAAAAGCCTGCGCAGGTCACGTGTTTTGGATATCATCGCCTGAAGTGTTCAAACAGAACAACAAACACGTTCAAACATCAGGGGAGGGGCCAAGAGAAGCAAATGCTCCTGGGTTCCATCTTTTTTAATGCTTTTTGTTGGGTAGTGAATTTCCGTTGAAGATCCTAAACAGGTACCGTCAACTGCAAGAGCTGCATTCTTTTAGGTCTATCCATTCCCATTCCGAGAGTAGTCGGTAAATACATTCTTGCTATTCTGCTTTGGATACTTGATACTTCCTGAGCAGCCCTATGGGTGTATGGGAGACTGACTGAGAGCATCAAATTCTCCTATCCTATCAAAGGAAAGAGCTTTTGCACCTTTGGGAGAGCCATTTGGGCTCCACCTCTCCCAGGTGCAGTTGGCCACCAAGTCTCACCAAGTCTTCTTGTTTTATCTTACTGTAATTATTTTCACATCGTCCCACAAACATGACTACCCGCCAGGTGACTCCAGCCAGGTGCCCCACACCCGAAACAAACAACCGCACGAGTCTCCGGACCATTTCGGCCGTAAAAAACGACCTCGCTGTGCTTGGGGAATGATGTGAGGTCGTGACTACCTGGTTGTCGTTGTGGATGAATCTCAGAGTATCAAGGACCGTTGGTCGTCACTACCTGGGTGTCGGGGGTGTCTGGACTGGAGAAGGTACTGACTGAGGTCGCTGCTCAAGAAGAGATGACCAAAGAAGCTGCTGATGGACGAGTTCTCTGGTCGGTGAAAGGTGAAGGTGGAATTTGCTGCTGAAAACCGCGTCTCTTCAGATTTGTTCAGTGCCTCTTCTAGAGTAATAGTAATGATTACTGATATTAATAAATCAAGTCAGCCTCCTTTCAAGTTGATTTGAGGCACCCTTGTTTTCCTTCCATCCAATTGGGCCAAAAAGACGGGTTTTCGGTGACCCCATCCAGGGTTCCTTCTTTTCGCACAGGAATCCACGAGTCAGAGGACTAAGGTTGTTGTGCTGGTCCTAGTTCACCGGTTCCACACGTACATGGAACGGCAAGTTGATGGAACGGATTCCGGGTTGGTGAGGATGTTCGGAACATCCTGCATACAGCTTCCTCATTGCTTGCTCATTGTAGCGATTTGAAATTGCCGGCTTCCATTTCTTGTTTCAGTAGCCTGGGAGAGTTCTCTCACCCGCGAACTGCGCCGATGTTTAAGGTTGGCATTTGCAAAGCAGCACGTCGTGTGGTTCTCCTGAGTGGCTTGGGATGAACTCGCTTGGGATGGATTCTCCCACAAACCCAGACCTGGGCAACAGACGTCGCATCTCACGGACCTGTAGCAACACCTGACCTGTACCATTTAGTTTTGGGTCACCTATGATGTTAACACCTATCCTCTTTCAGGTGCGCCCCTCCCACCGGGCTGAATTCGGGCACCATGGTGACGGCCAAGGGCCTTGAAAGGAGGGCTACCAAAGAGTGAACGAGCCTTCCCGGCGAGAAATAAATCCATTGCAGCGAGTGTCAAGGATGAGTTGGTGGACCCATCGGTGGACAAAGCGCTTGACAACCTGCGCGTCACTTGACAAGCTGCGCGTCAGCACCTCGACTTTCTGTGGTCATATTGTACACAGATACAACAACTCCCGATGTGGCCACTGATGTTCGCGGGGCACACCTGGCTCTTTCCGCCCGTTTCATGGCCTGGCTTGTGGAGGAACATACTCTTTAGTCCCACGAAAAGGGGGGATGCCAGGGACTTCACAGGTATGGTCTAGTTGATTCATATTGGTTCCTCAGGGTTCCTGGCTTTGTTCACTTCGTTCGCGGTGCGTTTAACACATTGGTGAGGTGGCACTCCAGCGGTGAATCGAGCCTCAGAGCTCTACACACAGCTGGAGGCAAGGGTGGCAGATACCCTTTGTTGATCATGGGCGCTTTGGGGAGTGTAGGTGCAGGTGCTGTTCCAGGTGTTGTGGAACTGTGTGGGCGCTTTGGACACGGTGTCGGTGCAGTTGGCTGTACCTTCATTTCGTGCTCGAGGGAAGATTTCGCTCAAAGAAGATTGCGCACGGTAGCGATGACCTTGAATGTTGTGCATGAATGCGCATGCGCCTCTCTGATAGTTCGGTTGGCTTTGAGCAGCATTTGCCCTCTTTGCAAAGCCAGTCGTCCTTTTCAACACAGTTTTGCTAGGTTCCCTTCAAACAACAAAATTGTTTTGTGATGCTGGCCTTTAGTTGACCAACACTTCCTCCTTGATGCGCAACACGGTCGGATCAATCCCAAGCAGTGGGTGTCACTTCGGGCGAAATGCCCGACTATAGGTGGTACGTGCTGTGGCAAGAACTTCGTCAAACAAAATCAAAGAGGTCGCGGTTGCACAGACCACCATGTGGTATGGGATTAGAACCCCATCGGTTCTGCTCCTTGGCACGCAGCCCTTAAACCTCCACTAGCACTTCGGCTGCTCTTCTGAACATCGTAGCCGTAGCACGAGCAGACGACCTAGAACTTGGTACGTGGGGAGAGTGGTCACAGCCTAAGACATCCTCAAAGGTGCTGCTTCGTGATTTGGAAGCGAGCAACATTCACTGGGCATTCGGCAATGACAAAGCTTCAGCCAGTTGAGAATCAGTGTTGGTGACCAAACCTCCAACATCTCCAGCACCTCAGCCTTCAGGATCACCCGCCCAAGTAGTAAAGGCGCGGTATATCGTCAGACAATTTCAGGGGCGTCCTTTAACCCGAAGAGCAAGGGGCGAAACCCAACGTGAAGACGCGGCGAGCAGTGGTATGATTTGAACTGACAAATTATGTGTCTTCTTGCACTAGCCAAGCCGTCTGGATGAACAATCTCCCGCAAGCCCTTCTGCCCTAAGCGGGCAACAAGAACGTGAGAGATGCGCCGACGAGTACCAAGCGAAAGACCGCTACTGGTACCATGCGCGGCTGACGCATCCGCTGCAGTTCGATCGACTGGCGGTGCTAGGCCAGATACAAGCGAGAACTCTATACAAAGCATCATAAAGCAGCAAGCATGCTTATGAGCTTGAAGTACAGCCATGCTTCTGAGATCTTCAGAGGAGGAAGGTTGCGCCAAAACATCGTGCACAGCACACATTTTGTTCAACGATGTTCAACGTGGGGTCTCACTGTAGGGACGAGCCGGAAGACCGAAACAGGGCAAGAAGCTACTAGTAGCAAGTGCATCGCTACTAGTAACAAGGGCATTACTACTAGTAACAGGAAGCTACTAGGTTGGAGGCCATTGCTACTAGTAACAAGAATCTCCTCATTGTGACTTCGCATCTTTGTCCTGTGGGCCTGAGAAACGGACGGTACGTTCGGCCTGGAACGTACGTGACTGGCTGCTCAGCAGATGACCGTGGGTCCGTTGGTCCCGTCCGTCCACCGAGAAAGCCATGGAGGCACTGATGCCGTCGGAGATGCCAAGTTTTTCGCAGTTCGCTGAGCGCTACAGCTACAAGCAGTGTGGAAGCCAAGCCAGGGCAGAGGTGTCTAGGCTGAGGCGGATGGTGTCCGAGGTTGAGCTGCTGTTTTGGGGGCTTGGTACCCATCAACAAGCTCACTGGTTTTATATTTGCCGGCCTTTCTCAGTGGTTTGGCAAGTT